AAGAGGAAATGATGCCAATAATGGGTGAAATTGGAGAAAGTCCAGCTCATGTTAAAGAACAAGAAAATTATTTTAAAAGTTTTCTACCCAAACAGCTTATAGGGATAGTCAAACCTGCATCAACTGAGATTTTTAAGAACTTGTTAAATGTTTTTGAACATATATTTGTCTAATTGATCCTGTTTTAGAACAGAAGGATGGATTATCTACTTTTTTCAGTTGTGTTTATGTTGTTACATTAGTCTTAGCTTAATATTTTTACCTTGCTGTTGAAAGAATTCTCACATATTTTTTTCATTTTTAGACACAGACATCAGTGAGTCTGGTATTTCCGTTAGAAGCACTGGTTCAGCTGCTTCTATGACCAGCCAAGGTGAGCGAAAGAGGAGGACACTTCCACAGCTTCCCAAAGAGGAGAAAGTGAATGAAAGCTCAAAAGCAAAACCCACATCTCATCAGAGATCAGAAATAGGTGAAAAGCAAGACACTGAACTTCAGGAGAAGGAAACTCCAGCTCGTCCCTCAGATGCCGATAGCAGAAGTATAGCCAAGTCAAGCAGAACAATGAATGGTCTTTCACCCAAACCTACTGGAGACAAAGTTTTTTCTTTCCCCAGCTCTTCCAGTAAAGAGAGAGTTGAAACTGGCAGAGAAACTTCTGTGGTGAAACAAGCTTTAGCAAAAATTCAACAACAAGAAAGAAAGGAACAAGGACACTGGACACCCACAAAATTATCCTCTACAAAACCTGCTGCAAACCAAGTTGAGAAAGGTAGGGAGGAGAAGACTATGTCACCCAAAACTTCAGGTAATCAAGACAAAACTCTTGGACATGTTACAGATAAGGCAGAAATGAAGTTGGTGCAGAGTGAGGGAAAAAGAAGAAAAAATGAGGAAACTATTAAAGGACAAACTCCTAAACCATCTGGAGGAGAAAAAAAGGAATCTTCAAAACCATTAGTGAGGCAAGGTAGCTTTACTATAGATAAGCCTAGCACAAATATACCTATAGAACTTATTCCTCACATTAATAAGCAAAGTGGATCTGCTGCCCCTTTAGCATCTGCAAACAGGATACGTGACAGAAGTGACTCAATGGACACCGATTCCAGTCTAGATACAACACTCATTTTAAAAGACACAGAAGCTGTAATGGCTTTCCTTGAAGCTAAATTGCGTGAAGAGAATAAAACTGACGAAGGTCCAGAAACTCCAAGCTACAACAGAGATAATTCCATATCGCCAGAATCTGACGTAGATACAGCCAGCACGATCAGTCTTGTTACTGGTGACTCTGAAAGGAAATCCACGCAGAAGCGCAAGACCTTTACAACCTTATACAAGGATAGATGCTCCTCTGGTTCTCCTTCAAAGGATGTTTTAAAATCGTCTGCAACAAGTGCCAGAGAAAAGATGGAAAAGAAAACTAAAAGTCGATCTTCAGATGGTGGCTCTAGAGCTGATGCTCGCAGAGCTGTGCAGTCCAGTGGAAGAATGAGACAACCATCAGTAGATTTGACAGATGATGACCAAACATCTAGCGTACCTCATTCTGCCATTTCTGACATCTTATCATCTGACCAGGAAACCTACTCTGGCAAATCACATGGAAGAGTTCCTTTTGCCTCAGCAGACGAACTTTTACATTCCAAGATGGAAGGAAAGTCAGCTAAATCAAAAACTTCTGTTGCACTTGGGCAGTCTAGTAAATCTACCACTCTTCCAAGACCTCGTCCTACAAGGACTTCTCTTTTGCGCAGAGCACGGCTTGGTGAAGCCTCCGATAGTGAGCTTGCTGATGCTGATAAGGCCTCAGTGGCTTCTGAAGTGTCCACTACAAGTTCTACATCAAAACCTCCGTCAGGGAGGAGAAATATTTCCAGAATAGACTTACTTGCTCAACCCCGCAGAAATCGACTTGGCTCTTTATCAGCACGTAGTGATTCTGAAGCAACAATAACTAGAAGCACTGCCTCATCTCGTACCCCAGAAGCTATTATCAGAAGTAGTGCAAGGCTAGCATCAGCAGGAGATAGTAGTAAAGTTTCTGCTAGAACTCGAGCCAATAGCATTTCTCGACTATCAGATTCAAAATCCAAATCTCTGGCTTCAGCTCATAATTCTCCCTCAGGTACGTGATGTTATTTGAACTAGTTTTGTACAATATTTTATTTCATATGGGGATTTTTTTATTATTATTATTTTATTAAGTAGCAGTTCTTAAGAAATATTTGTTGAGTTTTGGCTGATGGAGACTTTCTCCTTGGAGTAAGAGACTTTCTTGGCAGGGCTTGTGGACAGTTCTCATTTAAAATTTAAAAACAAGAAACTGCAATTCTTTTATCTTTGGTTATTGTTTTAAGCTTCTAACCAGTAAAAAAAGAATTGCATTGAAGCATTTAGATGTGGCAGCATTAGTACAAAACCAGAGCAGAGATCTCTTAAGTCACAGTAGTAGAAGTTTAGAACTACATAGAAGGTGCAATATTTATTTCTAAGATAGGTTTGTGAATATGCTGAACAGCAGATGTTTCCTGAGGTATCCATAGAACACTTGTAATTTATAATTTAAGGTTAGCTTCCAGAACTACAGAAGTGAGAATTGTTCGGTAAGAATAATAAGGAAGATACAGAAAAAATGAACACAAACATTACCTAAATACCGTAAAGTTAAGTAATTTATATGAAAATGTTTGCCATGCCTTGGAGTAGTTTCTATTCTCTGTTCCAAATCTTGACGATTTTTAATTTCATCATGATTTCCAAATCATATTGATCTTCTTTTGTGTGGTAGTTCCTTTACTGTAATATTATCTCATGTATGGAAGGAAAAATCTGTGCAGTTGATTAATTTTAACTACTCTACTGTTAGAAGTGAACATAATACTTTTAGTGCAAGCACTGTGAAAGAGCACCAGCTTTTTTGCAACAGCAATATTAAATCAACCAAAACTAAAATGAGTTAATTTTAAATAAGTGAACTTTCATGTGGAATGAATATCTAAAATTGATGACCTCTTGCTTTTTGCTTGACTTTATTTGAAGCTGATTCACAATCTAAGAAAAGTATAAATAGAATAGCTTCCAGTGTTGTGTGTTGCTACTGAGTTTATATATTGCCCTTTATTCCTTCCCATTCAGACTTGATATAAACATCTGTGATAAATTTCCCACAGTCCTACAGCCCTTTTGCTGCTTATATATCATAAATGTACCTTCTCAGGATTCTCAGCAGTGTTCGTTCTCTGGCTAGGTATCTTTTGGCTGTTTCATTAGCTGAATAGAAATTTCTGTAGAGATACTAATGAGGTGTTCACTGAACTATAAACTTGAATCTGTTTAATATTACAACAGGTGTCTACAAAGATACAAAAAAAAATAAAGTGAAACTTCAGAGAAAAACTCAGTACAGTACATGCTACTTTTCCAATGATGTCTTACAAAGACCGAGCTTTTGTAAGACATCATTTGAAAAATAGCATGTTCTCAATTTTAATTAACTTTTTAAATTGATGTGTGCAGCCTGAAAGGGTGGCAACGTTAGGTCAGGGAAGACTGTCAGTTAAGACTGCTTCTATTTGTTTAGCAATTAACACTAGTTCACATCATGATAGTTGGTGTCACTTCGCTGCTGCTTATGTTTTTCACAAAACTATATATGGAATTTGAGTTTTGTGTCCATGTGAACTATTGCATTCTTCCTAAATTTTTCTCAGGTTGCTGCATTGAAATGGTTCACTGCTCCTGTTCAAGGGAGCAGGTGTATCTTCCTTTTCCCACTCTATTAGGCTATCACAGTCACCTTTGTTAAACGTTCCTTTCATTTACGTGCATTACACAAATTTTACTGTAGCTTGTATAAAATACTCTGTTGCCAGGAAAGAAAAGATACTATCTTCTCTTGAGCTACCCCAACATAGAAAGCTAGGTATTTTTAAAAGACTGTTCTTAGAAAAATCTACAGTAGAAATAACTTCTGTCATTAAAAGCATCATCAGTGTACATATCAAAATCAGGGAGAAGCCTGTATCGGTGTAAAGGTGGAAAAAATATGAAAACAGTTAATAAGGCAGTCAGATACTTTCAAAACAAAATCATGGCATAATAAATCAATCAAGTCTTGTTACTAAGTAAAGAATGTTTTTACTACAGTTTAGGATTTGGAGTTCTGGATTTTGCCTGTATCAGTAAGGTGATTGTATAATTTTTTTTACTGGTCTGTTTAAGAGTAGACATTAGGAAAATCTGAAGTGCTTTAAAAGCGGCATAGTCTTCTAGTATGTGTAGGAGTGCATGTATATGTATATATCTCCTATTATATATAGGCTACTTGTCAGTCATTTTCCCTTTAGCATCTTATAAAATGATGCTAATAACTACCCAACACATCAAGCTACTAATAATATTATTTATTTTATCCTTACATAAACATATTTAAAATATATTTTAATGGAACATATTAATTCTATGCAATATATAAAAATAGAATGTAGCAGAAGCTTTTCAATCCAAAGCATATAATTCCTGAATTTAATTTTGTTTCTAGAAATGTCAACAATTCACTTAATTTTAGCACTTTCGGAAATTACTAATGAAGTACCTGATGGAAGTGCTTCAACTGTTTGAATATGTTTTACTTCAGGCACATTTAATCAAGGCATAACAGTGATGCACTTTCTTCTCTGCTTGGACCTAGAAAGAGTAGAAAATGAATTATCATTACCAAGATAGGATTTGTTGTTTTTTTCTTTTCTTTTGCCAGAAGCCTGGTTGCTGTTGTCTTCTTAACAGAGACCAGTTAACATTGCGACACTGTAGATCACTAACCATTGGCAGCAGAATCCTGCTTCTTAAATCCAGTCTATCAAAGAGAAAATTATTTCCACATTTCCCAAATCTTTTTGAATGTTCAGACATACATGCCTGTAAAACAGGGGCAAAAAAAGGCATGGTCACTGGATTTTTTTTTATTGTCGTGTACTTCATGTGGATGAATTGCAACATAATAGCATTCAAATTGTCAGAGGTTTTTTTTTTTAATCCTTGATACAGTTAAGTATTGCTTCCTTTTAAATGAGAGAGCAAGCAGATAAATGGAATGTTTTGGATGAGAATTATCTGCACTAAAGTAATTACGAGGGTGTTTCAGTGGTAGGAGGCCTGGTAACTGACAACACTGTGAAGACACATGAAGCAGAATTAGGAATTTCTTACCACAAGCAATAAAAGATCTAATCAAGGCTGAATCATCAAATAGTAGAGTGTGATCAATAAAAAAAAGAGAAGACCAAAGACCTTTTTTCACAAATGCAGAGGAAAATTGAAGTTGATGTTACAGAAGGAGCTGTTTATTGGGAAAATTAATAACAGGATCAGACCTAGTACAAAAGTGCAACTGTAAAATTAAGCAGTGAGTCAGAGTAGAGAGATCTTGAACAACTAGTTGTGTTCAGCAGCTTTGCTGGCTTGCTGACCTAAATGTCATTGCAGATAAGTTGATCAAAGCTGGGGGGAGTGCGGGGGAAGAAAAAGAAAAAAACATTGAACATGGAGAGAAAACAACCTCTATTCCAGGATCTTTGAAAAGGATGAACCTTGAGAAGGCCAGTGCATCAGTGAGTGTATTATGAGAGAGATCCTTAATGAAGTCTGTCCTCAGGTCTTAAGTGTCCTGATTATGCTCTCCAAATCATAAAAATTGGGAATTTAAGATGCTGTGAACACATTATGCTTCTTCTAGAGTAGTCCCCAAATTAGGTTGGTCTGGTGATTACTTTAGCCAGAGGTTTGGAGGGTTTTTTAATTACTGGTACTGATACTCACAGTCTTTGCTGTCTAAGATAACTAATTGCATGATAGCTTTCAGAAATCAGCATAAGCTACAATGACATATTGGGGCTGCATAATTTAGAAATAGTATTAAAAGCATATACATGCAAATATATTGCTAGCTTAATGGGAAACATGCTTGGATATTGCTTGTAATGAGTTGTACAACTTTGAGATTTTTACTGTTAAGCTTACAGTAACTTTTTCCCTATATTAATGAGAAACTCATTGATAATATATAAACAAACAACATTTTAAGGCCTTAAAATATAATAACCTTAAAAAATGTAGAGGGGTTTTATGATACTATGAAGACAATTCTTATTGATGTTATTTCAGTTAGTGTCTCTGAAATGTTTAAGCTTTCACAAAATTTCATGGTTTTGATTGAATGTATACTTTAAGAATCTTTTCCTAAAAAGTGTGGGTGGAAAAGCGGACCTAAGATTGATCTCATCAATATAGGTTTTTTTTTAAGCAAATGCTTCTAATCTGAATGTTTTAATACGAATTAACATGATAAAACGCTATTTTGTACACAGAGAAATCCAAGCTTCTCCCAGACCCAGATCCTGATGTTGAAACTTACAGTGGTAGAGTACTAGAAATCAAATCTGTTTCTGATATTTCACTTCTCATTCAGTTTTTAGTTTTTAAATATATGATGACATATGCTCATTGTACAGTGCTGAGTTGCTGGACTAGCTCACTTGAGAGATTTTAAGATAAATTTTGTATTTAATTTGATGCATATAATTTGAACTGGGGCAAAGAATTTAAATAAAAAATTATGCTAAAATGTGGGCCCAACTCATAAACTCTTTGGACTTCGGTCACGCATTGCTTGCATGCCGTTGGTGGGGAAATGTGCTTTTTCTGCTTATGTTCTACTTCCCTAAGATCAAAACAAGTTTGAAACCTCTAAAAGGAGAAGAGTAAGTGACTGGAGAGACATTTTTATTTTCTTTAATAAAGTTATTAAAAAAATTAGTAGATTTGGACTTGGTTTGAAGCCCACATTTAAACATGAAGAAAATTACAGCAGTATATCTTTGCTTTCAGTGATTAAAAATGTATTATTTATATGAGGGAAGGGATGTAAGCTTATACACCAAGGTAATTTTTCTACACAGATCTTTTCTCAACCAAAAATTACTTTCACTATTTGTTACATAAATTCATAGTGATGTATGCTTTGTTTATAATGTTTTTTTAAAATGTTTCAGGAGGAATCATTATTACTTCTTGCATTTTTTGTTATACTAAGCCCAATATACATAACTTGAATCTGTTCTTCTTAAATTACCAAAAGATGATCACATACTTTTCAAAACTTCTGCAGTAATTATAGAGCCTCATAAATGTCAGTGAATATGGGGGATAAGTCCCCTGCAAGAATTTAGCAAGTTGTCATGATGAGAATTCCTTTACACTTAGTGCTATCTCTTCCTGCTGGGAATGTTTGAGGACAGAATATCTGAAATGCATTTTCTACACTTTAGTACTTCACAGGGGTACAATAGCCTCCTATTTAGTTTCAGTTCTCTTGCACTTCAGGCTGTCTTCAGGCAACATGGCTGTACATGCTTTATGTGCTACATGTGAGAATATATGGTTTTTCTCTGAGGCTGCTGTTTTTATAGATGTGTTGCTGATTTTTATAACACTTAATTTAAACGTATTCTTTTCTGTACTAAATGCATCATCTAGGATATATATGCTTTCCTTAAGTAAGCGTTAATTCCAGGCTTGGTGCCAGCTCCATCCTTCCTTCATGTCTCTTCATTTTTTTTGTGTATCATGTAAACCATGAATGAAACTCGGGGGAAAAAAATCTGCAGAAAAAGTGCAATCTGACTATATACTTAAACGTTAATGAATTGGGCCCTTGTTTTGTAATACAGTTTGCTTGACCTCATACAGTTACTGGCTTTTACATCTTAATTTCACTCATCATTATACAAAGAGCATCCGTTTTACGTTTCTATTAATACTTATTATTTAACACAAATTTTGTAGCTTTCTTTTTAAGATGTAGTAAATAAACCTTTTGTGAGGTATCTGGGGATTGATAATGAATAGTTGTGTACTTCTGTGATGTTACTAAAATAATACTGTTTTTTCTTATTAAAGTTGCAATAATAATTCTTTTTTAACAATTAAACTAATTTAGTAAGTGCAAGATGGAGGCGCTTTCCTACAGATTATGCTTCCACCTCAGAAGATGAATTTGGATCAAACCGTAATTCCCCTAAACATACCCGTCTACGTACCTCTCCAGCCCTGAAAACCACACGACTGCAGAGCACTGGGACAGCAGCTCAAAGTAGCAATACATTCAAGCATAGAATAAAGGAACAGGAAGACTATATTCGTGACTGGACTGCCCACCGAGAAGAAATAGCAAGGTTAGTTTTGAAGGAGTGCCTCTAAAATGACAAAGATTTGTACCCAACCGGTTATACAGGTACATATAGAGGAGAAAGACAGCTAATGGATTTTCTGTACCACTCTACTTACTGTTCTTATTCTCTAAGTGAATGGGTAATTTAAAGTTCTTCTTACGAGACTGGCAGACAGACACTCACGTTACCAGCACATTCTTTCTAATGGAAAATATTAGTCACTTCTGACTTCTGATAGCCAGATCCCAGAAAATGAACTTCTGATTACATTAGTGGGACTTGCAGAAGTACTCTGTGGTAATGGTGTATTTCCCAAGGTTGAAGTATATCTGATTTTGTACTACCCTTACATTCATATTGAGGTAAGATTTCAGATCAATGCATATGTGACAGAGAGGAGAAAGTGATTTTGGCAGTGTGAGAGACCATGTTCTCATTTTAATTTTTTATGTAGACGTTATTTCATGATAGATATTTTCAGATTTAAATCATATGTATCAAAAAGTAATTTCTTTCATTGCAAGTCCCTGAGATGAGTATAGCAATTCCTCCATTATTGCTAATAGCACTCTGCTTCAAGTGAACCAAAGAAACATTCTGCATTCTGGTAATCCATTATTCCCATGTCATGCAATAACCAGGCAGTGAAAGCTTCCAATAGCTTGCAGTAGATAAATAAAACTATGTAAATATATGAATGTTATCCTAAACTTAGATGCCAGTGTTCAGGTTCTGAAGTTTTTAACGGAAAAGTGGTTTCCTTTTAAAATTAATACATCTGTGGTGTCACATGTCACAGATGTGAAGCATTGCATTTTGCTTAGTATGATTGATTTTTCTTTTGTTTCCTCTTCTTGTTACTATTTTTCAACATTTATTTTTCCAATATTGCCTGTGCAAAAGGAAAATAAGTAAGGGAATCTGATAGCACCTTGATAAATCATGAAATAAACATCTTCAAAGCATCTTCCTAAAACGTATCTAGAGTTAGAGATGGATCTAGGGAGGAATGTGTGTATCTGGGGAAAAAAACTATACCCATAGCATATTACTTTTTCCTTATAAAAATTGCTGCTGAACCTCTACTTCAGTGAAACTTCTAGGTACATTTTGCTCATCTAGGAGAGATTGATGCTGGATGCAATTGACTATCTGGTCTAAACTTACTTGATTATTAGGTGTGCAGGGCTTTTTTTCCCTTTGCATTTCTTACCATTTTCTTCATTTAGACACTGGTTTTAAATTTGCCTTAAAGGTCATGTACTTACGTTGCCTTTTTTACCTTCTTTATTTCCAGTGGAAGTGGGTAGAGGCTCAAATTGGTATTGCCCGATTTGTGATTATGTATAGAAATTTCACATGAACTGCGTTAAATGAGCATATATTAGGTTAAGAAAGCTAGCACTCAGCAGTTGAGAAGTGCCAGGCTACTGTCATCTATTGTCACTGCTTAAAATGCCGGTTTCCTTGGTTAGCTGCTGCTGAGCCCCCCTATTCTAGGTCACTAGTTGATGCTTTCTGTGCCTCCGTATCTCTTTGTACTGATTCAAAATATTGCTCCTCTGGCTTTTAAGTTTAACTTTTGTCCTCGTCTCTGCTCCCTTTGCCCTTGCTAACTGTAGTCTACCCTATATTATTGTCTCCCTCGTAGGGGTTTTTTTCCATCCCAGCCCTTAGTCCAGCCTCTGTGATCAGAGTCCCTTCAACTCAGTTTAGAGTTTTTAAGAAAGGAATAGACAGTTGTACATTCTCACTAAAATGGATTTATTTTGTTGATGATGAATAACTGATTAGGTTAGGCATGTGTAAAGATAAATATTTCATAAAACAAATGTGGAATGACAAATACCTCATTGCATCCATGTACCATCATATTGCATTTTAACTGGTCTTCCAAGATTTACCCAGTTCGCACTTTTCACAGAGTCTACAATTTACAGATGTTAATTAAATTGAAAATTGGAAAGTGGTGTTTGTAAAAGCTTAATGGAATAATTAAATTTTATTTAAAACTACTTTCGCCTGGAGGATACACCCTCAGAATAACAGGAGCTTCACATATACTTAAGGATTTTAAAGTATGATTACAAAATAAACTGACTCAATGTAGGAAGTGTGACGTAGTAAAGTAAGCATAAAAATGGTTTTGGTAATCCAGCAGTTCAGAACTATTACGGGTATCTTAAAAGTATTCCTATTTCATTGTGTTTTTTCTAATACTATGGATGTTCTTTCAGTGCAGGTAAGAACTAGAATTCCAGGCTGTTGAAAAAGATGGTCATGCTTTCGCCATCCCAAGCCCCATGTTCTCACCTTTTCCCTTGCGTTGAAAACTCTGTCTGTTCCTTACATAATTGTGTAGCTGCAGGAGCTGTTCAGTGAGTGGATCTAATAGCAACATTTCCTGGAGCAGGGTAGCAGTGCTTAGGGAATTTGAGTTTTATTTTAGTTTTGCCTCCCTGAGTTAATTTGCCTTGTATGAGTGCTAGGTCTGATGCAGGAAGCACTAGAAATCTGCAAGGCAACCTACTGTTGCAGGAGAGTAAATAGTGTGTTACCTACAGCCTAAGTCTCCTGTTCTTGATTATACAAACCATACTCCTTAAGCAATACTTTCTGTTTCTAAATTTTAATGTAGAATTACTTGAAAACTTCATTTACGAAAAGTTAGGCCCAACTCTTAGATGGTCTTTAATTTTTTTTTACATAGTGCTTTTCGTTTAGTGCTCTATATTGTTTCTGTACAGAAACATTAAGGACTGACTATAGCTTACTATCAAACTGAGACTAATTCCAGATTTTGTTCACTCAACTAATACTTGAGTATGATGATGGTCTAACAAGTTGCTTGCTATCCATATTAGAGTCGTTTATTATGGTATTTTCAGGATTTATTTAAATTCATTTTTATGTATACATCTGACATTTTATGTAATTTCGTTTGCTTGGTAAGAACTTGGTTGAAGTGGCTGTGGCACGTTGAAGCATTGCTGATTTGTGTGGAGACTTACGTCTTAGCTGATTGATAGTACTTCTCATTATGGTGCTTAATGACATTTGTCTTCTTGAGGATATACTGATAATTGAAATTTCCTGGGTTTTATTTTCTTAACAACTATTCATTAAATACCAAAATTTGTCACAAATGTGATTATTAGCAACTTGTGTGTTTAAGAAAAAAAGTTATATGGTTGTGTAAAAAAAAAAAAAATAAAAAAGAAGGGAGTAGGTGCTCTGGTATCTCTACTACTTATTATATTAGCTCAGACCTTGGAGTTTTAATGGTATGTATAACAAGAACATGAAATATAGATTAAAATTGAACCAAAAGATGTAGTAATAATAGGCACTTTCCATATTTTAATTTATTAAAATGAGCAATTGACTTGGTTTCTGCTTTTGTGTTCTAGTCTTTGATAGTTTGAATTCAGAAATACAGTGAGGAGTGGTAACGGGTAATTGCTGCATGTTCTTCCAAAGCCTTATCCCAATTATGTGTATATCTGAGCTGCACAAGATGGCGTATTTTTGCAGATTGCTGATGGTTAGCCACAAAATCTAGTGTTCGAGCTTGGCTGGAAATTACGTTTGCCTTTCTGGTTTAAATTCTGCTCACTGTCTTAAACTATGTTTAGGTCAGTGATGTCCATTCTTTTTGACTTGAAGACAAAGTGAAAATAAAGAGCAGAAAGAAGCTCACCTTTAACTAGCACTGGCCAGCACAGTGTGCATCACTGTCACATGGCTGCGCAATTCCTTTCACTTAAGTGGTGGGTGCTTTTGTTCACAGAGTCCTTGGTGGTGCAGAGTTAGCACTGTTGACTTCTGTGCCTTCAGTCGTCTCAGAAGTGTGAAAGGGGATCACTTTGTGGGCTGCTCTGAATTCTTAGGTCTTCTGAACTGCTTGATCCAAGGTGGAGATTCAGGACGCCATATTTAGTAGGGGGCTTTTAGCTTTTTTCTTCGTGGTGGGCTTTTTTTTCCCCCTCCTTTTTTTGGATGTCCTGGGGAGCAGTAGCATAAGCAGAGCTAGGCAAGCTTCCTTCCTATTCTGAGCAGAATACAGAGCAGAGCAATTTTTTGATGTGGTGAATCAGAAGTAAAGAACTCATTAGCTGACAATTCAGATGTAATTGTGTAGTGCTAGCATATCCAGGGGTTTCACAGACATATTCTGTTTTTCCAACTAGAAAGCTTGTCTTGACTAAAGTTGAAGCTTTAGGGTACTGCTCTGGAATTTCAGATATGCAAGCAGCTTGATCCGAGTGAGGTGAGGGGCTGCTAGATAATCAAAGGTCCTGAGGAAGTTCTTTGTAAGTAAGTAAACTGAGGTATAAATTAAATGTGTTCTGGACATTTCAGATTTACTGCATGTACACAGATCATCTGTGCAGTATTTTCAGCCTGTTTGCAGTGCATCTCGTGTCAGATTTAGTGCATGTTGCACACAACTCTACCTGGGAATCCTAGAAAGAAAACAAGGGTGCCCTGTCTTTTGAGACTGCCTTCTACATCCTTTGTATAGAAAGGAGTGTTATTAAAAGCTTCAGTTAAAAAATTGCTTTCACAGTTCTACCAATAAACTTTCAGTTTAGTAGGGCATACACATTTTCATAACACAGTTGTCAGGAACTAGAACTATAAGCTCAAAGGTTGCAGGTTGGGTTCTACTGGTCCAGAAGCGTTTGTAGGGAAGAATGTAACACTCTCTTTATTACTAGGATCAGTCAAGATCTGGCTCTCATCGCACGGGAAATCAACGATGTAGCAGGAGAGATAGATTCAGTGACTTCATCAGGCACTGCCCCCAGTACCACAGTAAGCACTGCTGCCACCACCCCTGGCTCTGCCATAGACACTAGAGAAGAGGTAGGAGATCTTCATGGAGAAATGCATAAGGTTCTTCCTTTTCTTTATTTCTTTTGCTTTTAGCATTTTGCATAGCCTTTTTTGAGTTATTTCCACTCAACCCGTCTGCATGATCCCTACATTGTTTTTTGCTTTAAAGTTCCTTTGCATTCCAAGCAACAACCTAGAAATTATTCTATAAACACAGCCTGTCAAAAGACTGCATACTATCTGTCTGTCTCTTTTTTTCCACAAAACATAGGACAAGATAGTTACTTGTTTCTTGCTTGTCTGTAGCCTTAGATACCATTGGAAAGTATCTAAGTGCATTTGAAGATACAAGTGTGTATGCACAAATTATATATACATGTATGCATTTAATACTTTGCATAGCTATTAAAAACAAAAAAGTCCCTTTTTTCACAGGTGACAAAAATTTCATCTTCTGAACACTGAAAGACTTACGTACCATCAGTTAGCAATAACTTTAGATTTTCTTTCTTGATAACATTGTCAAAAACTGCCTTAAAATAAGTTTGCCTTGTGCTCTAATAATTCTAATTTTCTTTCACTATTCTGGTATGCTGTTCTGTGAATATATTGACTAACTTGTTCTAGTAATCATCACAGGTCTAATGCTGGTAAATATGCTAAGCTGAATTTAAATCATTGCCTTCTACCATATTACAATTCACCCTAATATGTTATAAATGTTTACTGCATTTTTTTCTTCGTAGTATTCCTTTCAAAATGTGTTTATTCATTTTTGTGAGCATAAAGTTTGTTAACATACTAGTTTACTGTGTATAGTATAATACTGTCTTTTTCTGTGGAAAAAAAGATATAAACAGTGATAAGAAACCTGTGAGTTGGGAATTGAAATTATAACTGCACTCACATTCTCATGGACTTAAGGCTAAACTTCAAGGAAGTGCTTATTTTCTCAGATCCAGTTAGATCACTCTGAATTTTATATTACTAAATAATTATTTTCGTCTTTAAAAAGTATTGTACAGTATGTACATACTGCAGGTGGCAGTATCTGCTTTAAGTAGGTATAGGCGTTTCTGTAACACTAGACTAAACTGGGAAAAAAATCTGAAATTTGATAGCACTGTACTTAATTCCACAAATGTATTCCATTAATTGAAGGAATAAATTATTCAATGCCAATTTATAGGTAACTGTTATGTTACCTGACCATAAGCAAAGTTTCTGTGGCTGGTATTTGGAGGAAAAAAATAGTTCATTTTTACCAGGTATTGTTACATGAGTGATGCATCATTTTATGCTATACAAGACAAGAGAATGATTTTTATTTGATGGGCTTCGTGTAAATCATTTCAGAAAGGAAAGAATATTAATCTGATTTTTGCATGTATCCAGTAGTTTTCATAAATGGCATTTTTCTTTTACTCCCCAGTTGGTTGACCGAGTATTTGATGAAAGTCTCAATTTTAGAAAAATCCCTCCACTAGTGCATTCCAAACCACCAGAGGGGAATGGTCGGCCTAATGATGCCGGACCTCAGCTAACAGGCACCCTTGATCCCCCCAAAATTACCCGGAGAAGGACTTGGAGCAGAGATGAAGTGAGTACACAATTGGATTCTCTCTATTACTGTGTCTATTTCAAACTTTTACAATTCCCTTCCCACTTAGTATTCTAGGCAATATCCTTTCTTTCCTACCTGTAGCAGGTGGAAAAAGAATATATTTGTGTATTATTTAATTTGCAAAATGTTGACATGTAATTGGTTTGTATATGCTGCTAATTAGGAAACAAGTCATTTTTTTTAAAGCTAAAAAATATTTCAATATTTATAGATTTGTTTGTATTCTCATTAAATTAACAGTATACTTTTTTATTCAAAACTTATTGCAGGTTATGGGGGACAGTTTGCTCTTGTCCTCAGTCTTCCAATTTTCTCGCAAGATAAGACAATCCATAGACAAAACAGCTGGCAAGATCAGGTGGGTTTGTAAAATTATTGTTATTACTGAAAATGTCTGCTCTCATCAACAGTCCTGCTAGTAGAAGAGATATGTATAAACAGATAGTATTTAGGAGCAACTTGTGATTTAAAAAAGCAATGTTACCTATGGTTTTTATTAGCATTCAGAAAGATTTGGGATAAATAGTTTTCCATTATTGCTTTAGTCTTTTTCACATTATATAAAGGTAAATATCAGCAAAGTTTACATGGACAGAACAATATTCATCATACTTCCAACAGAGGAGCTGTTCCAACACATGCAAATACTGAGCAAAATCTACATGACCTCTATGCGAGTCTTAATAAAACTCCCTTTCTTAAAAGTAAGGTTAAAATGTTGCTGAACTGTAAAACTGGCCCTGTACACTGCCAAGCTGTAGTGATCAACCGTTTTGGGAAGAAAAAAAGATTGGGACAGAGGAGAGCAGTTTCAGCAAATCCTTCTGAAAAAGAACTCACACAGGAGACAGTGTAGTCACTATTGAGTTCCAAATCTAAAACAACAGATGTAACTATGCGTTATTTTTAATTGAAAATTCCTGCTTAGATAGTTAGATTCCTGCATAAAATGTCATAGTAGCTAACAGGAAGTATAGACGTGTCATAAATGAAAGTTCCATTTAACTTGAATGAGTGAGTGTACCACCGTTTGGTGACCACTTTGGTTAACAAGAATAAATGAAAATTCTAAAAACAAAGTTGAGCGTTTTATAATTCACGTGTCCTTCTACATGTCTTTTTGCAGTTGATCATTTCCAAATAGGATACATTCAAAATAAGAAAGTCATAGGGCTGAATGTCATGTATATTTTTCTGAATGTGAGAAAATATTAGGTCTGTAATTGTCAATTTATCTAGGAAGAGTCAGATATTGAAATCTTACGTGGGTGACAGATTAATCACCAAATCACAGATTTATTTCAGCATAGGGCGATGTAACTTAGTAGAAGTAGCAAAATACTATCATATCTGAAGATTGTATTCTCATGGAGTAACAAAAAAGCCTTGTCCATAGAAATCAAGAAGGAAAAAAACGGTCTGTATGAATCAGTACAAACTGTAGATTATCTGCCATTTCTAGTCCTGCTGTTTCTAGTAAGAAAATTATCACTGAGTGAAGAATCAAGTCTTTAAAACCTGGAGCCCCTTCTTACTATTTCTCTTCTAAGTGGTTTTGTGTGGGTTTTTGTTTGGTTTTTTTCCACTGGTGGTTACAGGTAACACTTGTGAGTACCTTATTTCTGCTGTCTTGGAACATGGTCAGGGACTGACATTCATCCAACTTCTCTTTTTCCAACTCACCATTTTGGGCTGCAGGATTATAATACTGGAAATACACCCATTGCTGCCTTTCCCTCTTTGGTTTCCCCAGATACATTCTTTTATGATTCATACTATTTATTTAAATATCCTTAAACAAAGGAGACACGAATGTCTTTTGCTATGTAAATTTCAGATTAAAATGAGTTTGTGAAATTCAGGTGTACAATACTGTTACTTTCAAAAGCTATGCCAAATTAACACAGTTCAACTTTATTATGCAGAATTTATTACAAATTATGCAGACGTTAATAACTTGTTCAAGTTTAATCAACCTCTAAGTACATGCTATCGTTTACTTTAATAGCTGATCTCAAAAACTGAACAAATAAATACAGGTGAAGTGGTACTTAAACATGACCATTTTTGGAAGTCATTCTAAAAGGCATTTGAAATTTGGAAATAGAAATGAAATACTACATTAAATTTTGTTTTGAGCATAATTCTTTGGGAAAATACAGTGACATCCATAAGGAACTCTGCTTACCAATGTATTTTTTTTTCCTTTTAAAGCTGCATCATTGGAACAAGAATCTTGCTTATTGACTGACTTATTTGTCGTAGGCGTCCAGGATGATAGGTATCTTAAAATGCCTCAGAAGAAGTAGATAGTAGATACTCTACTTTTTTTGTTGTTCTGATTTTTCTTGGTAGTTGTCGGTTTCGGACCTGTAAATATGTTGCTAGCACAGATCTAGTTTACTTAATGTAAAAAACTGAGTACAGTATAGTGATTTAAAACAAACTTATGTATGTGAATTCATTCTGAGAAAAGCATGTAACTGTAAAATCAAGTCTTACATGGTTTTGATTGATTTTCTGAGCTTAAAAGGTAAGTCAGCTACATTATAATGAATGTAATAATGATGTGATTGTACATGATGTTAAAAATGTAAACATACCTATAAAATCTATTTTTATAGATTTATATAATCTATATAAATTTTATATAGATTTAAGAACAGGGGCATTGCTTATTTCTATCAAAATATAGTGGAGAAACTTTCATTAAGCAATTATTTAATGTATTCCCCAGAGCTGTGATCAAAACTTCTTTTTCCTGCTATTCAGAACATCATACTATGAATAACATCATATTATTCAAACAATAATATGTTCTATGAATAATATGATGTTAATTGAACAATATGATGTTATTCATATGATGAATAATATGATGTTATTCGTAATGTCATTAGTATTTTGAATCAGAAAAACAACAGTAGTTTTAGGATTTTTTTATTTTTTTTTAGAAGGGGTATAAAACAGGACCTATTAAAAATTTTTACCTTAGCTTTCTTTTCATGTACATGAGTTCAACCAGCTGTGTTGACCATGCTTCTGTCCCTTTTACTGGAGTTAAGCCAGTTAAAATTTCTTCCCAGGACAGATATGGTGAGAATCAATTAGCATTTGTCAAGCTAGCAGTCGTGTATGTTTTGTCAGAGTACTTGAACCTGAAGGGAGGGGAGAAATTTTTAGAGGCATCAATAAGAGTAAGCCAGTAAGCCTGTGTTATAAAAGTCTTCTCTCAAATTATATTGTTCACCAACATAAGCCTCTCCCCAGAGCAGAGGCCATATAGGGCAGTTATGCTCCCTATGAATTGCATCATGCATGTTAAAAATTGCAGCCTTCCTATCTGGGTCCAAGTGGAGAGAAATGTGCTTCCTCTGAATGTGAGAACTCTTCTTTCTGTAATATTTGAGTTGTGATAGCTAGCTTTACAAAAAGACACATTTCTCTTTAGCTAAAGTACTAAAAACATAAATATTTTTAGTCATTCTTGAGAAGCAGAACTATCAGAAATTAAAATGAGCCAAAATCAATCAGGAAAATAAATTAGTATGGCCAAAAGGAAAGATATATCTTTCTGCTTGACTAGTTTCTTCCCCGCTTCTTTACTGCCATTTCTATTTTATAGTTTATAGATAATGTTCCAAGTTCCACTAAGTTCTGTCATCATTCCTACCTTATATTAAGAAATAGGATTGAGAGAAGCTTTTGATACTGTATTCCTCAGCTAGATTCTCCCGGTGCTAGCAAAACTGGATTTTTATTTTTATCCCTATGTCCTTGCACTTCAAGTGCCTGGTTCTTCCTTTCACCAAGTCCTTTGTATATTTGTAATTTTCTTCAGGATATTGCTTGGGTATTACTAAGTTGCTTTTGTATTATTTTGTTTTATTCATTACTTTGTATAATCAGTTATGTTCTTATCTGCTGGTGTACACAAAACTGCATTGTATTTAAAAATTCTGCAGCATTCTTGCCATGTATAATATAACCTGTTCTTTGCTGGCTGAATATTGTTGCAGGTTCCCAGGAAGCTGGTATGCAATTTGTTTGCGTTTCTGTCTTTTATATGTTATAACGGGTTTTCAGGAATTTTCAGAGGTTATGGAGGGACGAGATAAGTAGGTTTTGCAATGAGAAGACCTGCGTGGTCTTCAGTGCTCTACAATGTGAATGAAGTGTTATTGGCTTGCTTGTAGCAGCCAAGTACCTCTTCAGTCAGGCAAAATCTAGGCAAAGCATTCAAGTCAGTGTAGGTACTACTTGTCAGTCTCTGCAGTTTGCTGTGCATCCAGCAAAGTGCAGTGAAATTAAAATGGGGTCTGAGCACAAGAAAATAAGGAGTTCACGTAGATTTGCCCCAGAAAGTAGGAAGAGGTTAGAGCACAAGGCAGCAATCCTTTATAAATGCATTCTTTTAATACAAAGAATATGGTTTGATTAGAAGGAGGAAGAGAGAAGGAAACAGAGATTAAGAGCCCCAGGAGGTTAAAATGTACTAAATGAAGAATTGAGAAAAATGTTGTAAAAAGCAAATAGGCGTCCTAAAAATATAGCAAACCCAAACTGGCCTGTCCAAAGTATAGTCAAAATAATATGTTTAAAATTATTAATTACTGCTTTCATTTTTCTTTATTTTTTTCCTTTTTTAATAAAATGACCTATGAAATGATAAGCTTTCAAATTGTAAAAGAAAAGTAAGAACAGTATTTCTAAAAGCGAGTAAGGCTGAAAAATACCACATACACAAGCAAATGCACTAATCACATCATAAAGGTAGAAGAATTTCAATATAATTATGGGCAAGAGGTAAATGAAAAAAACATGCAATGTCAAAATAACATTTATTTTTCTACTAGTGATGTTCACTGCTGAATAAAGCCTTATTTTCTGTTCCGG